GCATCCAAGTATCCTTGTTTAGCTGATTTTTGATAATAATCAAATGATTTAAACTCATCCTTTTTTATGCCATTTCCTAATTCATAACATTCACCTAAATTATATAATGCAACTACATTTTCTTTTTCAGCTGCTTTTTTAAACCAATAAAATGCAATTTCTAAATTTTTTTTTGTTCCAATTCCATTTTTATAACATTTTGCCAAATCATATAATGCTATTTCATAATCAAATTCTATTGCTTTGTGATACCAATAAAATGCCTTTTCTAAATCTTTTTGAGTGTTATTTCCATTCATATAAAAATTAGCTAGAATATACATTGCTTTTTCATTACCATTTTCTGCTGCTTTTTGATACCAATAAAAAGACATATTAAAATCCTTTTCTGTTCCTTTTCCATCTTGATAACATATGGCTAAATTATACATAGATATTTCATAATCATTTTCTGCTGCCTTTTGATACCAATAAAATGCCTTTTTTAAATTTTTTTCTATATTTTCACCTTTTTCAAATAATAATGCCAAGTTGTTTTGTGCTTTAATATATCCATTTTCTGCTGCTTTTTGATACCAATAAAAAGTTATTTCTAAATATTTTTTTGATTCTAAATTTTTTTCATATAATTTAATAAAATAATTTTGTGCATAAATGCATCCATTTTTAGCTGCTTTTTGATACCAATAAATTGCTTTTTCTAAATTCTTTTTGATTTCTTCACCATTTTCATATAATAATGCAAGATTGAATTGTGCATTTATTTGTTCATTTTCAGCAGCTTTTTGATACCAATAAAATGCCTTTTCTAAATTCTTTTCTGTTCCTTCACCCTTTTCATATAAAAAAGCAAGATTATATTGTGCATCTGCTAAATTATTTTCAGAAGCTTTTTGATACCAATAAAATGCTTTTTCTAAATTCTTTTCTGTTCCTTCACCATTATAATATGAATTTGCAAGATTGAATTGTGCATTTATTTGTCCATTTTCAGCAGCTTTTTGATACCAATAAAATGCTTTTTCTAAATTCTTTTCTATTCCTTCACCATTATAATATGATGCAAGATTAAATTGTGCATTTATTAGTCCGTTTTCAGCAGCTTTTTGATACCAATAAAATGCCTTTTCTAAATTCTTTTCAATTCCTTTTCCATTTTGATATAAAATTGCAAGATTATATTGTGCATTATCATCACTATTTTCAGCAGCTTTTTGATACCAATAGATTGATTTTTTTATATTTCTTTTTGTTCCTTCACCATTTTCATATAAATAACCCAAAAAAGATTGTGCATAATTATATCCTTTTTCAGCTAAATCTTCACATATATTAAATGCTTTTCCTTTATTAATTTCAGTTCCAATTGCTAAATAGTAACAAATTCCAAGTCTAAATTTTCCATTTATGTTGTCTTTTTCAGATAATATCATATATATTTTAAATGCTATAATTTCATTTTTTTCTATTCCATTACCCAATTCGTAACATCTACCCAAATTATATAATCCACTTAAATTTTCATTATCTGCCGCTTCTTGATATAAATAAAAAGCTTTTTTCAAATCTTTTTCAATTCCTATACTTTTTTCATAATAAATACCAAGGTTAAGTTTTCCAAAGATACTATTATTTCTTACGGCTTTTTGTATCCAATGAAAAGCTAAATTATAATTTATTTCAATTCCACATCCATTCTCATAACATTTCGCAAGATAAACTTGTGCAATAGGATAATCATTTGTTGAAGCACATAAAAACAGTTGAAATGCTTCATTTTCATTTTTTTCAAAATTGATATTATTAAAATAGAAAAATCCCAAGAGAAAGACGTGTTTTGATTCCACTTGATTTTCTTTAAGCCATTCAAAAATATCATTTGAATTTTTGTTTGAATGAAATATACATTGAATGATGAAATGTTTTGTTTCATTAAAATCATTTCCCTCATCATGTGTTTTAATTAAAAGTACGATTAATTTATCAATAAGAGTATCTATACTGTCTTCTACATCAAATACTTTCAAAAATAATTTTTCTGCTTGATGTAATATATGTAAATGTCCTTCATTGTTTATTGAATCTAAGTTAAATTCTTGTATCAATTTACTTAAAAATAACTCAGAATTATTACTATTCATGCATGGCATGTTAGAAGATGATGAATTAGAATGAATATCATTTTGCGATTCTATTTTATTTTTTGTGTGAATAATAATAGAATGAAATTTATCATTATCCTCAGAAATAATTGCTCTGAGTGAATCAACAACTTGTTGAAGGGTAGGACGTTCATTTGAATCATCACTCCAACATGCTAAAAAAATTAAAATATATTGTCATTTAAATAATCACGCATAAAACGTAATGCATGCATATTTACCTTTATATAATTCACTATACTCGGTAGAAGTACCCTCGATAATTTTTTCTCTTCGGCCTTTTATGATTTCTATAACTAAACTTGCATCATATTCTTCGTTTTGGGAATAAAAAGGTCGATGGCCACTTGAAATTTGCCAAAGAAGAACTCCAACACTATAAACATCTGACTTTGGATTTAATAAATAGAGTTGGCTTTTACTTTTATTTCCAATATTTTTCAGGTATTCCGGATCAACGTAAGGAACAACACCAAAAACATCTGTTGAATGATTAGAAGCATCATTTATCTTTCGAGATAGACCGAAATCTGCTAGTTTTATATTGTTCTGATGTATAAGTATATTTTGTGCATGCTAAATGTAAGTAATTCATATTATTTAGTATAAAGTACAATCAAAAATCAAATCAAGTTATTTTAAATGAATACATTACCAAATCACAATGAATGATTCCTTCGTTATGCATACATTCTACAGCATTTGCAAGTTGATAGGCTAATTTATATTTATCATTCCATTCAAGTTTTTCAAAATTTTCTTTTAAATATGACTGCAATGTTCCGCCATCAGCGTACTCCATAACCAATAAATACTTATTTATTTGGTTAATTGTATCCGTTTCTAATTTCGATATTCCATAAAATTTTATAACATTCTCATGATAATCAACCTCACGTTGCATTTTTATCTATTAAATTAAAGCAATTTAATATATTTTATAATAAAAGTGGAAAATTGCAATATTTGTAATAGCATACCTCATTAACGATTTCTTTAATTTCTGAAACGTAAGAAGATTTTATAACCATAACGGTATCGGAATCGTTCCAGTTTGCACGAGAAATATTTCCATAAGAACCATTGCTAATTTCTTTCTTATTTACGAACTTTGCATAATCATAGTATTTGATGTAATCTTCTGATATTGCCCTTTCTATCCAATCGAAGTAAACGATATCTTGTGTTTCAGTAGCCATAATTACAAGGAAAAGAGTTTTTTTTTTTTTAATTTTTCCAAATTACACAAATACAAGGCGTACTGTACTGTATTTGTATTACAAAATTTTTTTCAAAGCAGATGATCGGGCCAATGTCATTCCGACTTTTAATGACTGCGCCTCTCTGATTACTATTTTACATAATGCAATTTAATTATAATTATAAATACAATAGCATTCCTCAAAACGAGAATAGAGAATTTTATTTATTTACCATCCTCCTTCCTCTACCTACTCTAATTTTATTTGATTAATATAAGTAATAATTTCATGGGGAGTTATGAATAATCAGGGTTATTCTGCTCCAGATTAAATTACTAGGTTATACCCAGAGCGTGCGATTTATGATATGTATTATACTTTTTTATATTCTTTACAATTTAAATTAAATTTTTTATTTTTTTTGAATAAACAAATAAATAAATTACTTTATTTTTTTAAAATTTTAAAGGAAACCTTATCAAGAAAAGCTAATGATACTAAAAATAACCAGGTATTCATTCCTACGAAAGATTTATTATTCCAACTGATAATGATTTACAAACTATTCAAGCTTATTCTCAAGTTACTAATATTATTCCAAAAAAAATGAAGAATTTTCAAGTAAAAAAATTTAAAAATTTTGAATTTTTGATACATTATAAATTTTATACGAATTCCTTTAAAAGAAAAATACATCGAAAAATCAAGATATTATAATAAATTCATATATTAAGATGTTGACTTAAACATCTAGTAATATTTGAAGCAGGTATGTTAATATTTCATTTATTTTAGAATTTATTAAATTTTAAAGCATATTATTTAAATAGCATCAACAATTTCTTGGCCAATATATCATTTATTACATTTTATCTAAATATTTACAACATTGGATTAAGCATTTATTAACGTATTACAAATTATGTTTCTTTATTATATTTAGCAAAAAATTATTCTTTTTGAAAAAAAAATAGATAAGTACAATGATTTGATACTAAAGCATTAAGTTTTAATGATACAAAGATCCATTTCAGGAATTAAAAGTTATTTATTTATAAAGTTAGTAACACATGATATATTTATTAAGGTTAAAGCAACCTCTTAGGTTAAGATAATACTCAAGATCAATAATAATCAGGTATCGTGTTGATTTACCTTCACAAATATAATTTATTTAATATTGCTCATGTAACAATATCGGCATATCTAAAATATAAGCGCGGACATAATGCTTGTTTAATTAGACTATTCTAGTTTGTGATGATAAGTCTAAAGAAATAGAATTCCTAATTAATAAAATTGTTTATTTTACTCTTTCAATCTTCTTCGTGTCTTCATAAAGGATTTGACGCGATAACTACTCTAACGAATCTTAATAATTAATAATACATCGGACGTACTAAATAAAAAGTAAACAAGTTTTTGTTGACTTGAGAAAGCAAGGAAATTCGGGTCAACACCGGCAAGGCATGTACCGTTCCTAAAAATATTCTCTTGTTCAATGCTGAATTATCTTTCAATACTTTTATGCTAGCAGCCAAGTTACAATGTTTATATTAAAAAATATTTCAACTAATTTACGCATAAAAACGCGTTGACTCAACACACTTCCCATAAAATGAGCGGAATTTTCAAGATCAAGTCCGTGTAATTGATTACATACAGTTTGCAAATTATGAAGTATTTTTCCTAACTTTAGAGACAATTTTACTTTTTAATTAAAATTTTTTAAATTAATTTTTAAAAATTTTATTACATATTAATATTTTAAAATTTTTTCTAAGCAAAATCAAAAAAAAAAATAAAAAGTTATTTAGTTAATTAATATTTTAATAATAAATAAGTAATGAATTATTATAAAAAACATCTAATATTAAATGATCTATAAATATCAAAATTTCATGCGCACTTTATAAGAAATTTTCAATATTTAAATGTCTTAAACATAATTGGTGATTTATTTTATTTTTGCGAAAAAATTAAATATAGTTCCTTTATATGCGTAATAAGCTAAAATTCATCTTTTTATGATCACTAGTTATCAAATAAATTTTAGGCTTGGTGCTATGATATGTCTTTAGCTTAGATAATTTTGATAATATCAATGTGAAAAATTGCGGTGGTTACAGTCAAAGAGGGACACCAAAATTTTCAAGAATTACAGTTATTGAATTAATATCTTTACAGATGTAATATTGGATTAAACCAAATTATCCAATCACTTAAAAATTCAAATGATAAAATGATAAATAATTAATTAATTAGTTCGTTACATCTACAATACACTTGTTCAAATTATTTATTTCATTTTTCCAACAAAATTTCCTTGAAACATCTACCAAATTGCGTGTTATTAGTATCAGTAACGTACTTAGAAGAATATAATAGATCATTATCCTCTCCCGTCTCGAAAATACTCTAGTTCGGACCAATATTGATGTCCATCTACTCGATTTGCTCCCGCAATATCTAGAATTATTTTCATAAAATAAAATCAATTAAATTATCGCAAAGAAATTTTTAATTAAATTGAAAATATTATGTGCTTTACATGAGAGGTTCGCTATTAAAGTCATGTCTGAGTATGGTTTATGATGTCTCGTAACCTGATTTGAATATCAAATAACCATATGCAAAGCTCACCTAAATTTCCTGCTCGTTGTACTCTCTCCTGCTACTCAACAGCGAAATCTTCCAACTTTTGTTGCTGCATACATAAATACGTTATCGGTTCTGGTTTTCATATAATTTATATTTAAGGTTATGAATGTTGTGTTCAAAATAATTATTTAATATAATTAAAATAATCCATAAGAAAAAAAAACCTCTATTTTTAAGCGAATATTTTACGTGAACCAAAATGCAAAGATTTTTTTAAATGATCCTTAGACATTTCTGGGAATTGGATAATAAATCTACAAATATTTAAAAAAAATATTTCCAAAAATTAAAAATCTCCAACCCAAATTTTTTTTTAAAAAAAAATATATTTGTATTCGTATTTATTTACAGTATCGTTGTTTGAGAAGTACTGATTATGGGAACGGCACGTAAATTTACTTCTTATCCTTTTCAATGTTCCGGCAACGCCCGTGATTGTAATTTTGGAAATTTTTTTTTCTCGGGTCTTTGAAGTCTTAATGGATTGTTCTTCTATTTAAGGGGAAGAGATTTACAAACCACTTTGTAATTAATAATTGTAGGAAGTGTTCGTCAATATTTTGAATCGCTAGATCGATTTTAAAAAAAATGGTAATATATGGATTTGATTAAGTTGTATTGACAAAAGTATATACTAGCATGGAATCCAAGTATTTGGCCGTTTGTTAAATTAAGAAAAATGAAAAGGTTAAGTTAATTTAAGAAAATAAAATTAAAGTAAAAAATTATTATACAAGATAAGTTAATTCACTTTTCTTTTTTTCTTTTTATGCTGAAGCTTGATATTTAAGCGAATCAATAGCCACGATTAAGATGTTTGACGTATCAATATCCACCTTTTAATCTTAATACCGACATTTTGGTATATGGAATTCAAAAATGAATGAGAAATACAATTTGTTCTTCCGATAACTAAAAAAAAGTAACTATAGGGAGGAGACCATTTTGTATATTATAACTTGTTAGAAATTATATCAAAAATATAACTTATATAAAACATTTTAGAAAGTTCTTCGGCTATTCTGTTTTTTTCGATTCGCTAATAAATTTTTTTTGATCGATAAATAATGTATGAAAAAATTTTACTCGAGAACATCGTTTAGAATCATTTCTTGACAAATATTC